GATGATGGGCGCCAAAGAAGCCAACCTAAGAGACTCTAAAATGAGTCGGATATTCAATCAACATTAAGACGAGCTAGCAAAACATGTGAATGAAAAAGAAAAGTGGTTGGTTGACACTTGGAAAAATCTAAAGAAGGTTGGGAAGTAGAATCGAGAAGCAAATGCGAAGATAGATAGGCTTTGGGCATAACATGATCACCTTACATATTTTGTTAGAACTAGAGGATATTTTATTGACTGCGAACAAAATATGTATACCTTACCATTTCAAAAAATCTGGAACCCTATTTAAGTATGTAATAGTTATTTTTAATGTTAGTTTACCTAATTTGAATGAAAATTACTCCCCTTTAAGAAAGGCATACCATTTCTTTTACATACTTGAGTTTAAAATGACATTACATTATCTAAAGTTAGAGTGAATGTCCAAGATAATTGGCAACTTGCATATTGTGCAAACTAATAATGTATACATGATTTTCAAACGATTTCATGTACGTCTCAATTAGGCAAAAAAACGTTATTAGTCATTTTCACTCATTCTTTTGTAGTTGCTCGTATCCTACATGCTTCTTCGATGATATATATTGTGTTCAAAAACCATCGTATATATTCATACATTATAATGAGAAGCATTGGCATATTAGCCAATGCTACCTTTCTATGCTCCTCGATCACATAAGTTAGTAATAGGCTTTGAAGTACTACCATTCGCTCTTTCACATGTTGAAAATCACGAATCATTTCTAACACAGTTGTATAAGGAATACTACATTGGTCCTCCTCAAGGTGTAGCAGTTCATATATTATTTGTAGTGCATTTGCATCACTCAACTCACTAGATGTCAGAGACTATGATTAAAAATATATGCAAAGATATTATAAAAGTGTATCGGTTCAAAATGTAAAACCAAACATTATAAAGCGTATCCATATAAAAAACTATAAAATGACAACTACTTTAAAATAATAGGTTTTTCTAAACATAATGTAGTCTTGTCTTTCGAAATTCTATCTGTTTTCAATTTAAACTTTAACACCTCTTTGTTTTCCTTCTTAATTTTACGGATGCCCTGAGCGGTTTAGTGTCTGTGTGTGTTTTTTTTCTATTACCTCATCCGTTTTTTTTATTTAAAAAAATAATCCAACCAATAACTAATGTTAAATTATAGTATCATAAAGCACTAATATTTATAATAAATTTATTTTAATTAAAGGTTACGTTTATCGAGACCATTCTGAAAGCTCTTGTAAATGGTATACAATTTCTTTGTCTGTAAAACTCACTTTTTTTAGCAACATCAATGCAAAGTGTTGGGTGCATCTTCGAATGGACTATACTAGATTTTAGACTAAATTGTATGTATTTGTTTAATGCAAATCAATATTACATTTTAATTTAACAATATCAGAAAAAAAATTCAGACACACATTCCAAAATTGGTCATCGTAATTCCGACGTACCTAGTTAGTTCTATGGATTCCAGACACTTATTCCTCATTCTAGAATTATATGAATCAGGTAATCTACATTTATTACATCTATATATAGAGTGCTAATATATATATATATATATATATATATATATATATATATATATATATATATATGGTCAAAATGACTAAAAGTAATAGTAAATCAAAATGCATAGGACACTTTCTACATATTATAGCTATTTGTACACAACTGGAGTTCATAAGATCGTTTAAAATTTACATGCAAGTACATAAATCAGTATAACTAACATGGTTTGATAAATCTATGGTATAAAACGCGAAAAAGGCTTCGATATTTTGGTTTCAAAAAATTAACAATTGACACTGTCCGGAATGATATCTTCGGTATGTAAATGTGCGGAAACACAAATTGATAAACGGAAAGGGGACAAAAAGATGGTCAAAATGATCAAATGGACTAAAAGTGAGAAATATTAAAACACGTGTGGTTAATCTGTAATGAAAAATAAATAGTAAGACGAAAAAAGGGTCAAAAAAAGGCCAAAAAGGTAAAAGGTACTTAAATCGGTAAATATTAAAAGACATGTGACCAATCTCTAATTACAACATATTAGAGGCTAAATTTATCAAACTATAGAAAGTATTGTGAAAAAATATTGAAACATGCAAAATAGTGGGACTTAAAGTGGCAAATGTTAAAAGACATGGGCCAATCTCTAATTACAACATATCAATGAGTAAAATTGTCAAACTATACAAAGTATTATGGCAGAATCTTGAAGTATACAAAATATGGACTAAAATTATCAAACTATACAAAGTAGTATAACAAAATCAAAATTGTCAAATTATAAAAAATATTGTGGTAAAATCTTAAAACATATAAAATAGTGAGACTTAAAATGGCAAATATTAAAAGACATAGACCAATGTCTAATTACAACATGTCATGGACTAAAATTGTCAAACTATACAAAGTATTATGGAAAAATCTTAAAACATACAAAATATGGACTAAAATTGTCAAACTATGCAAAATATTGTAACAAAATCTTGAAACATATAAAATATACTATTCCTAATGACAATGACTATTAATATAGTATATATAATCTTAAAACATACAAAATAGTGAGATTTAAAATGGCAAATATTAAAAGATATAGACTAATGCATAATTACAACATGTCATGGATTAAAATTGTCAAACTATACAAAGTATTATGGAAAAATCTTGAAACATACAAAATATAGACTAAAATTATCAAACTATGCAAAATATTGTGACAAAGTCTTGAAAAATATAAAGTATACTATTCCTAATGACAATGACTATTAATATAATAGATAAATAACAAGAGACATGTCACTTGTAGTGTTTGTTGACTTCATTTGCATGACACCATCATCTATCTGCCAATTGAAAAAGACATTAGAGACCTTGTGGGTATCTTCTAATCAACTCTATCTTTCGCATTACATAAATTGAGATAGCGACAAGACTAATCTTTAAAGAAAAAGGTAGTAAATGATATGATACTCTAATCTTCATATAGAGTAAATTACAATTTTGGACCTTTTGGTCATGTGATTTTTGCTTACTTGGCAGATTTAATTTAACTTTTGAATATTTTACATTGCTCGATTATGTGGTTTTTTAAAATAACATTCGTGTTCTATACGGTTGTTACAATTTAATATTCTCCGTTATATAAATATAGAATGACCATTATATCTTATAAAACTTTCGTGTTATTTTACAATTTATTTCATGTTCAAGAACCACGATGAAAAAAAATCAAAAACAAAATAAAAGACTTAAACTAGCAACCACAATCACACTTTCATCGGTTCATCCACAACACCATCTCCTTCTGTTCAACGACGCCTTTCTCTCTACCTGCACCACCTAATATTTGACATTGCCGTCGCCTCCTGACAACCACATGAAAATTCTCTTCAACACTCACCATCCTATTTTATTGTGGTTATTAGTCACATCCACCCATCTCCTTCACCCTAACACTGCTAACTTGCCTCCGTCTATGTAACGAAGATAGAAGATTCATCTTTTTCTAGTGAAGAAGCAAATGCTCATGATATTCTTTTGCATTTTTTTTTGATCATTTTAGGAAAAAAGACTGTAGAAGGTGTATGGTTTTAATTTTAATAGTTATCATATGCATGAATTGTTCAAGTAAAAAGTTAAAATTTTATTTTGTTTTAATTTTGTTTAAATGCTTGGTAGTTTTTAGATGGTTTTAAGTAATTTATAACACAAGAAAATTTTTGAATCAGTTTTATGGATTTTCTAGGGATTTTATTCCTTTTCTTTAAATGTTTTTTGTGTTATTAAGTTAGTTTCAATTTTAAGATAATTGTTGGTAATTATCATGAGGTTATAATATGTTTAGAACAAGGGGCAACTTTTTAGCAATTGATATGATCGTGATGCTACTTGTGATTGGTGGTTGGTGTTTGGTTTTCCGACTATAAGTTGGTGGTTGTGATGGTGGGTTGATGTGGTGCTATTGGAGATGATCTCATCTAGTTTAAATTATTTCATTTTCCCGAGTCATCTACCTAATATTTTGATTTACTGAATAACATGAAATTATCTATAAATTAAATGCAATAGTAAAAAGATCACACAACATAACAATTATCTTACATACATATTTGATACATGTCAATATGTAGTATATCTTACATATGATATACCATTGTTTTTTTTTAATTAATAAATATGACAAAATAGAGTAACTATTTTACGTATTTGATACATGTCAATATGTAGTATATCTTACATATGATATACCATTGTTTTTTTTAATTAATAAATATCACAAAATAGAGTAACTATTTTACGTATTTGATACATGTAGATATATATGTAATATATCTTATATATATGATATGCCATTGTCTTTTTTTTTTTAATTAATAATTTTATTTATAATGATTTAGATTAAATAAAAATAATGATTCGATAACTCAACAAAATTAATATATATATATATATATATATATATATATATATATATATATATATATATATAGCTAGGTTCAAATGTTTCTAGTAACTATTGTGTTCCTAAATGCACCAATGAGAACTCAATAAATAATAAATAATTAAATAAATCATTTAAGGATATTTTGGACCTTTTATACTTTTAGTTAACGAGTTATTTAATTGAAATCCTTCAATTAAGGAAATAAAAAATATATATTTGACCTATTCTCTCTCTTATATCCTGTCTTATATCAATGAGTACGTGTGTGGTCGAACACGTTCATCATCGTCCATAGTTTTTTAGGGTTTATAAACTAATGTAGCCCACTTCCTCTTTTTGTCGACCTACATATTTCAATTTCTTCAATTCTTAACAATTCCAAACACTCACTCATTCAATTCATATATTCTTCCATCAACAAATTCCAACCGAGTATTCAAACACCTCCAAAAATCTTTATTCCTTTTCACTCCAAAAAAAACACTGCTACTATGCTCAACTTCATTAGCTTTGACCCGGTGTGAATGAATGAATTCATTCATCCAAAAAACCACCACTCCTATTGCTAATCAAAACGGTACAAGCACTCCAAGTAGCAGATTCAAGATCGAGAAACAGAATAGTACAGGAAAAGCATTGCAGACATCAGTGACAAGAGCTTTTTCAATCAAAAGATCTTCATCTATGTCTAAAAGGTATGCTAGGATCCACGATCAGTATGCAAATCCACTTGATGATGTTGATCATCTTGAAGCACAAGAACAAGAACAAGGAAAAGACTTATATATGGGGATATCTAAGAAGAAAAAGGGTAGGGGAAGTATATTGAAAACTTGTAAGCGCATTTCTGTTTCTTGATCTTGAATCTTTTGAATGAATGAATTCTCCATAAAGTTTGTAGAAGATAATTTTCGTGATGGATATGTTATGATAATTAGATTATTCTTATGATAATGTTGAAAAACTTTTTGGTATTCTAGCAATAAAGCACCATGTAAATTTGGTCAAAACTATTGCATAATTTTTCTGCCTTCTAAGTGTTCGATGAAATGCCTATAAGACCCCATCTTTTTTTCATTGTAGTTTTAGGATTACATTCTATTAGAATAAATTACAAGTCTTTAATGTGTACTATATTCTATTAGAATAAATTAAAGTATTAAATGTCAAACACATTCTATTAGAATTTGTAGTCTTATTCTTTTAAAATATACTAAAAGTTCTAATATTTTAAAGTTGATTATGTTTTCTTCATGAATATAGATTTTGAAGAGGCTACCATTCATGTGGAAAAAGAAGAAAACATAAAGAACGAGAGTATTCTAGCAGAATGTATTGTGCCAAAAGGTATAATGTGTTTCTTAATAATAATATTCGTTCAGAATGGATTAGTGTTTTTGTTAGATTTTTGATGTTTTTATTATTATTTTTTAACCCTTCTTAGTTTTAATCTATAAGAATAAATGTAATTATTAAACCATTATTAATCATTTTTTCAGAATGAATGTAATAGTTGTTTAGTTTTATTCTTTACGAATTAATGTAATTAGTGATTCTTAAATAATAAAACTCATATTCTTTAGAAAATGTTATTCTTGATAATATGTCCTATAATTGTTTAAACATGTTAATTATTAAAAATATATTGAATGAACCATATCCTGCAAGAATAAAATCGAAAATATATTTACTAGTTTATGTTTGACTCTCTGTCATTCCGAAAAAAATAGAATCGGTTAGTATTAGAAATTATAATAGAATTAAATTTGAATTAACTTAAAAAATTTAGATTTAAAAAAAGGAATTTAATTATCCCTTAAAATCTAGAAATTTCCTTTTTTAATATAGGTTAATTGACCAAAACACATTTCTGCTGAAATTTGTGTGATTATATGGTACATATTACCGTATTGTAATATCGTAAACCCTCAAATCATGACCATTGATTTTATTCATCAATTGGTCCAGAATTGTGCTTACGAGCACACAATAGATTTAAGAAACAAAATAACCTAGCTATATATATATATATATATATATATATATATATATATATATATATATATATATATATATATATATATATATATATATATATATATATATAGAGAGAGAGAGAGAGAAATGATCATTTGAAAACTTAAAGTGTCCTAAGAACCCGAGAACTAAAGGTGAAACGTTGGATCAAAAAAAGGAAGGGTCAAGATGCAAGTAGCGTTTTTGTAAATAAGTAGACAAAAAAGAAGGAGGGGTATCTTAATTAATTCAGTAAGGGGTATTATAGGAATAAAGTATAATTAAATGATTTCTTAAATCTAATATCTGATAAAACAAATTTTCATCTCTCTCTCCTCCCCGTTTTCCTCTCTCGCTGAAATGTACCATCCATCATCCGGTGACTCACCTCCGTCAAATAGCCCCTAACCTCCTCCATCATCCGATGTCGATCACCTCCCTCCTTCCTTCACCGGCCACCTCTACCTCTGTCGACCTCCACACTCCTTGATCTTACGTTGTTAATAGAAAAAACTCCACTGAAGATGCTTTGATTTTGAATCGGTATTCCGTCATTATTGCACATCCATTCTCCCTTGTTTCTCTATCATCATCGGACTACTCCGCTACAATCGAGATATCTCTTCTTCCTCTATCGTTGCGCCTTGATCACCATATATGTTTCTCTACACATCAATCTGATTTGGTAAACGCCTTCAAATCTATTTCGATTTCATATTTTTTGATTCAATCATGTTGGCATAGCACTGACCTACTGCCTTTACTTTCTGCATATTGTAAGTCCACTAGATGAAACCAACACATGTGTAAAAGGATACATATAAGTATTAGGGCGTTTTTCTATGATCGATAGAATACCAGATTGTTCTTCCTCTTAAGAACTCTATTATTTGCAACTACTAATTAGATTACTGAAGGAGTAAAGGATAGGTGTTCTTCATTTATTCTCATATTTGTAACTACCATTTCATGTTTCCTATTTTCTTTAACTAATCTTGAATATTGTATTAGTTTCCTTCTCCTTAATGGATTTTCAACCGTTTAGAGTTGGAAAATATATTTTATTTGTTTTTAGCACACGTGTTTCTTGAAATGATTCAAAGAATGTTTTCACCCTTTACCTTTGTTAATTGTGCTTCTGTATTGGTAATTTCATCCCATTGAACATGGTTCTTGTGACCTGCCACCTGAGGATATTTCTAAACCAAATGATTGGCAAGATTTTGCTGACCAGCTAATCACTAAAGATGATGCTACAATGCTAAATTAGAGAAATATTTGTTAACTATTAGAAGTTAACTTGGAAATTCACATTTACTAGCTCTGTTAAGTCATGCTTGATGTCATAAGTAAAGAAGAAGTGATTTGTAAGATAGTTCAGGAAGATTAAATATATAGCTTAATGTTTGATTTTGGAATCTGATTCTTTTGGCACAAAAACGAAATGGAAAAAAAACATTGACTACTTTTGTATAACTTTAGCCCAGTGTTTGATTTGTTCATTTGTACTTAACAGGAACTATGGTTATAAATAAGAGTATTTGGATGGATTATAAGGTGTGTATTCTAATATATGTGACAACCCGAAATCTCTATCCTATAAAGCCAATATATTCAATCATCAGCCTGACTTGTTTCTGTTATCTTCTAGAGATGTTAAGAGTTATCCTATGAGTTTTTAAGCCTTGTACACTTAGGATTTTGATACTAAGAAGTGTAGGTAATGGATCTATGGAATTCATTCAAGCCAAGAACATCAACAAGGGATCTTCACGGCCGTAAACTAGGTTCACGGCCGTGAACCCAAGTTTGGTCGTGAACCCATCACTACATATATATTTCCTTCATTTTTCTTGGTTTCTCACATCTTCCAACCAAGAACTCTCAAACTCCCTCAAGTGTCATCAAGGGAAACCCTCCCTTCTCTTGAAAAATGTAAGTGATACACTCATTTTTACTAGTTATTCTTCATATTCACATGAAGTCTTTTGATAACATCATTGAATTCATCACTTTTCCTTCAAGATCTTCAAATCACCATCTTTTCCACCAAGAACAGCAAGAACACATACTAGTTCTTAGGCCATGAACACTCTCAAGGATTAGAATAAGTAAGTATCTTATTCATCTTCTTGTTATCCATTAGAAACACTAGCATTGCCATGAAACAAACACCTCTTTAGTATGATTCTTCAAGAGTTCACGGCCGTGAACCCTTCATTGGGCCGTGAACCCTTCATAGGATCATGGTTTGGCCGTGAACCCTTTATCCATGGCCGTGAACCATGCTAAGGCCGTGAACACTTCCTTATGTGGCCGTGAACTCCCTTCAATAAATCATATTTGATTGTAACACTTCATTGCAAGTGTTACCTAGTTCCTAAGGTTGTTTCCCTAACATTTTAATTATTATATACACTAATTGTATACATATATGTGTCATTATATGCTTAATAGGACACGTTTGTGCTTGAGACTTCACTTGGCATACTTAGCATCCTATATCGATCTTTCATTTGAATCACTCATTGCAAGTGAGTTCATACCCCTACAAATATACTTTTAAATGCTTTTTAGAGACTTCACTTGGCATACTTAGCATCCTATATCGATCTTTCATTTGAATCACTCATTGCAAGTGAGTTCATACCCCTACAAATATACTTTTAAATGCTTTTTAGGTGCTTTTAGGGGAGAATACAAGTTGCACACAATGAAATTGTGTTAACCATTTACATGTGAAAACGACATCCAAAAGGATTTCTTATACTCAAAACATGTTGAAAAACTCTTTTAAAGATTTTATTAACTTATTGTATATCAAAATCATATTCTTCTATCTATTTACATATAAGTATGCTTTAACGGAGTTAGGACTACTGCTAGATACCTTAACTCCTGTTCCTTACATATATAAATATTAAGCCCATTTTTAAGGTACATACTTAACTTAGTTGCTTATAGGGAGTAACTAAGTCTTTTCTACAATCAGTAACAGTTCAAACAAACATTGTAGTAAGCTATAATAGGTATAGTTTAGAGGATTACTACTTACTATTTCTAAAACATTAAAACACATATGAGTTAGTTCATACGTACATACTATAACTAAAACATAAAGGAACATACATAACTATAACAAGAACAAGATAAAATTAATGGGAGGTGCTACTTCACGGCATAGCAATATACTTGTTATGTCGTGTTTTGTAACCAGAGTCTCCTGGAGGGAGAGTAGGTATTGTGTGTATAGATCTATACGGGACTGACAATCCCGCATCCCGACTATTCGCTATAGTTTGGCCGGTAAGCCAAGGGGTGACAAATGTCACATTAGTTTCAATGCCAACAGGTCGTCGTGCTAAATACGAGTCAATCAGCATGGTTATAACCACATCACATTTTAACCTTAATTAACAATTTGGTTTTAAGGTAGTTAGTGCTTTAGTAGTTATTTTATACAACATTACTGTACACTTCATTTTTCCATTACATTCATACGGTGATATACTCACATAAGAAATGAATACTATTTTTCGTGTAAGGATAGTTTTACTAATATGGAAATCCCACATTCATACCATTACAAGTATAAACATACATCTTACAACATTTTTCAAAGAGAAAGGAACATACAAAATAGTTGACTCTTGCTAGAAGACTACTTTTAGTAGAAGATATAGGATTTTCTAGGAAGTATACAAACATTTACATCAAAACAGTTACAAATGTTTTACTAATGCAAACTTTTGACACTAAAATACTTATGAACTCACTAGCTTAAATTCTTATCCTCTCTTTCAAAATAACTTGTATTATTAGGAATCCAGTAGACAGGTACATTGTCAAAGCTTTTGAGAAGGCAATCTAGTACCGTGCTGCATCTTTTGCCTTTTGCCATATCTACTTGATGTTTGGATATGTAATGTTTAAACACTTATGTAAAAACTTATACATTATTATTACAATGGTTGTTTGTACTTTGATTACTATAATGCATGTGTTGTGATACTTGAAATGATGTTGTCCGCCCCTGAACGTTTCCACCGTTCTCGGTTTGGGTGTGTGACAATATAGTTTGAGATTTTGATTGAGCATTTGATTTTCGTTACCGGTTAGCTTTTAGGATTCATATGTTTCACTATTTTGTTCTGAGTACCAACTAGATAATTAAAAATGGTTTGTTGAAAAACTTATTATTTACTTTTGTAGGGTTTTCTGCCACCTTTAGGTTCCAAGTGCTTTATAAGCAAACCTTCATCAACTACTGGTGCTGCATTGGATTTCAGGTAATTCTTATATAATATCAAAAGGTTTATATATCAAAATGATGATGAATAAAGAGATTTACATGTGAATCACTTGTGACACATGTGAATCATTTGTGATTTACATGTGAATCACATGTAAATCATGTTAATTGTTTATTTTTTCTAACCATATAGTTTATTTTAATTGCTTCTATACTAAAGCTTTATGAATCACTTTTGATTTACATGTGAATCACTTGTGATTCACATGTGAATCACTTGTGATTCACATGTGAATCACTTGTGATTCACATGTGAATCACTTGTGATTCACAAGTAAATCACAATTGATTAACATGTTAATCACATGTAATTCGCATGTAAATCATCTTAATAATTTTTTTTCTAACCATATACTTTATTTTATTTTGTTTCATTTTAGTAATATATCACAATTAAATCACATGTGTATTACATGTGATTTACATGTAAATCACAAGTGATTCACATATAAATTACACGGTTTTCACATGTAAATTATAAGTGAATCACATTTGAGTTACATATGATACATATGTAATTTACATATAAATTACATGTAATTAACAAGTAATTCACATATGAATTACTTGCATTAATCATGTTTTTTTTTTTTTTTTTTTTTTTTTTTTTTTTTGTAGATTTGGAAGCATTCGTGGAAAACATTGAAGAGATGAAAAATGATAAATTAAAGAAAATATGGAACACGAAGACATAAAAATGTTTTGAAATTTTGTAGTATTTTTTGGTTTTTTTATATTTTAGTTTGTATCGAATAAACTACTTGTATTATTGTGTTTATATATTATTAAATAACAATGAATTTTTTCATATGATTACTTACGAATATCATAGTATAAGAAATATATATATATATATATATATATATATATATATATATATATATATATATATATATATATATATATATATATATACTTGAAAAATATACATATATACTTGAAAAATATACATATATATTTTAGTTTTTTTTTAGAAAAAATTAAATTTTTTTAAATACAATTTTCTAAAGAAAATTACAGTATTTTTTGAAAAAATTGTAGTTATTTTTTTGAAAAAAAATTCAGTTTTCCTTTTTTAAATAAAGTTTTTTTTTTGAAAATTTAAGTTTTTTTAAAAATGTATTTTTTTGAAATAAAAATTGAAATAATCTCATTTTTTTTAAAACCAAAAATTACTT